CTGGAGTAACATCTGCATCTCTGCAGAAGTATCTGACTCTTTTGTCCAGAGTTGATGAGGGTTACAATTAACACATTTGAACTCTATTAGCATGGTCTATAGGACTCTGAAAAATGTCTGGGGACATGGGGCAGGGTGAAGGGTGGAGATCAGCTTATTCTCAACTTCTACTATAAACAAATCAAGCAGAAAAGGACGCAGACTCCTCCACAAATAATGTAAATAATACTACCCAGAGTCAGCCTACAGAGACAGTTGTTAACGTGGCAGATCAGAGTTAGAAAGGTCTTAAAGCTTTTGAAATTGCAAGAGTACCTGCTTCATAGAGTGGGCGGGGTATGTAGGAGAGCCTTTTTAACTAAATTTGTTGGGTTGGTCTTTCACTTACACCACATTTTTAGGCAGACTGCTTTTATTTTATTAATTTTGCAAACATTTACTGAGCACCCACCTTTTGCAAAGCACCATGTCAAAAATTCTGATAGTGTGGGAGATGTGTTTTCCAACTTGACCACAAAATTAACTTCCATCCCACATGCCCTTCTTAAAATGACTTTAACACTCCTGTTGGGAAATGTGGTCTCTATTCCCTCCTCCACAAAATTGCGTGGGCTTTTGTGACCAACAGAGAATGGTGGAAGTAACACAATCAAGCTTCCAAAACTAGGTCATAGTAGGTGAGACAACTTCTACCTTTCACTGGAATTCTCTCTTGTAAAACTTCTAACTGCCATGGAATCAGTTTCTGGCCTGACGTTGTCATTCTGGGAGGAAGCCCAAACTAGCTCATGTGGAGAAGACCACGGTGAGAAACCTTGAGATGACATGAAGTTGATAGCTGCCCAGCCGGCCCCCCCAGCTGTTCCAGTCCCTACTTCTCACAATCTCAGCTCTGGCCACCATCTGACTACAGCTGCATGCCACACCCTAAGCCAGAGCTGCTCCAACGAGCCCTCCCCAAATTCTTGACTCACAGAGAGCATGAAGCATAATGAAATGATTGTCTTAAGCCACTAAGTGTGAGGATGAAATTGTTACACCGGAACAGAGAGGTACAAAGAGAGTAGTTCATGATCTTTGGGCTTCCAGGAACTTGAAATCCAGGCGGGAAGACCAAATACACATATAAGGAGAACAAAAGAGTAGAAGGGCAGAGGCAGACCAAAAAGGCTAGCAAGGGGCTAAATATGGGAATAGACTGACTGAGGTTTTCAAACTGGTATGGAGAAGTCACTTTCAAATATCAGACCCATTGCTTGTTGTTGCTGAGAGTGCCAACAGGGCCTGAAGACCAAAGAGCTGTCAAAGAATGGGGCAATTTTTAAATACAACTTCTGATTTATAGTTAGTGGTAGAAATTCTTACAACTTTGAAGTAACGTGAATTCACATTCCCATTTTTACGGGAATAATAATAATAAGCATTTGCATGCATTATCTTATTTGATCATGAGAAAACCCCAATAGATTATCAATTGATCCAGCTTTATAATTCTACTGGAGCATTTATTTTATTTGGTTTTTTTTTAAGATTTTATTTATTTATTTGACAGAGAGAAACACAGAGAGAGAGGGAACACAAGCAGAGGGAGTAGGAGAGGGAGAAGCAGGCTCCCAGCTGAGCAGGGGGCCCGATGCAGGGCTCGATCCCAGGACCCTGGGATCATGACCTGAGCCAAAGGCAAACATTTAACGACTGAGCCATCCAGGCGCCCCTGGATCATTTATTTTAAAAATTTAAGAAATGTCTGGCTCAAATTAAGCAATTAAACATAACACATACTAATTCTGGGCAGAGAAGCAATATAGTAAACGAAATGGCAAAGGAAAAACAGGACATAATTCATGCCATGAAGTAGTTTAAAACCTCATTGGGCATTTGTAACATAGAGTCACACACACCTATACACACAAATAGTTAACAACAGTAAAGAAGAAACGTTAGGTGTGCAACGTTAGGTACAAATGAAATATAGAGTCTGCCTTAAAGTAGTCTTTCACCTCAGGCGACCCTTGCACTAAATGCTATTTATGATTCTGACCCAGTCCTAATAATAAAAATCCAAGCTCAAGTAGATTGAATCTTCCATTCTGTATGCCCTGGCCTTTGCCCTAAAGATGATAATGAAACAGAAGCATTTCCTGGATCACATATTTTGCCTAGAAGGTCTTCAAATCACTAGGGTAGCATTTCTCAAAATGTACTTCATAGAACTTTGTTCCCATAAGATGTCTTTTTTTTTTTTTAAAGATTTTATTTATTTATTTGACAGAGAGAGACACAGCGAGAGAGGGAACACAAGCAGGGGGAGTGGGAGAGGGAGAAGCAGGCCTCCCGCGGAGCAGGGAGCCCGATGTGGGGCTCGATCCCAGGACCCTGGGATCATGACCTGAGCCGAAGGCAGACGCTTAACGACTGAGCCACCCAGGCGCCCCTATTCCCATAAGATGTCTTACTACACACACACACACACACACACACACACACACACACACAGAATTTTAGAGTGACCTAAGTTCTTCATAGTATATCCTTTCAATGCACACTAATGTATTAAAGGTTCTGAGAAGTCTGGCAGATAAGAAGCCTACATAACTTTGATTAATCAAAGGTTTCCCAAACTTTTTCGAACATAGAAACTTCCCTCTCTTCCTCCTTCCTTCCTTTTCTTTCTTTTTTTTTTTTTGTTACTGTTTCATGCAATACTTATTAAAACATTTCAGGCACTGCTACTTTAGGGACAAAAAGTGATAAAGTGAAGTGAGCTTTACCCCCTCTTTTGTGTCTTCCTACCACATGGCCCTTAGGTAACTTACTAGTTTTCTGAGTTATTCATCTGTAAAAGATAATTCTATAATAAATTCTACCTCACATAGTTACTGTGAGGTGATAGATAGATAATGGCTTTTGTTTCCCTTTCCCTGGAGAATTAATTTTCTTCTTAAAGGTGAGACCAGGGGTGCCTGGGTGGCTCAGTCGGTTAAGTGGCTGCCTTCGGCTCAGGTTGTGATCCCAGGGTCCTGGGATCGAGCCCCGCATCGGGCTCCCTGCTCGGCAGGGAGCCTGCTTCTCCCTCTCCTTCTGCCTGCCTCTCTGCCTACTTGTTCTCTCTCTCTATCTCTCTGTCAAATAAATAAATAAAATCTTTAAAGGTGAGACCAGAACAGACCTCTCAGGCTTGCTGCAGTGCAGATCCTTGCCCTAATGTTGGACCAATCACACTCTGCTCCTACACACATACACTGGACCCAAAAGGAAGTAAACTTGGCCAAAATATTCTCCTTGCTAGAGTCTCTGGCTTTGACCCTGGCAGTCATGGACTGGGTTAGATATGCAGAAGCACAGAGTGATTAAACCCTTAGCATCTTCATCAGAGTGCCTGGGTTCCAATTCCGTTCCCACCATATATTAGCTGCATAGCCTGGGGCAGTTACTTAACTCTGCACCCCAGTTTTTCCAACTGTAGCATGGGGACAATAGTAGTAGCTACCTCCTAGGATTGTTATGAATTTAGATAATTAATATTTTGAACAGTGTCTGGAATATGACATGATGTTAGCTATTATTATAGCTTTATAAATATAGAGGTAGGTATAAAATTGAATACCTGGTCCCACTTTAGATCTAAAATAGCCAAATAGTTGGGGTAAAATTTTTTTTGGTACTGTACTGTGCTTTGTTTTTGGAATTATGACAGTTTTCCACTTTGCTAGCTTGAACCTGGCCTCAGAAATGACACTACCACTATGATCTTCATGAATCACTGTAACTTCTTTGTCATGCTCTTTAGGCTCTCAAGCCTTGGGAGGTTCAAAGAAATCAGATAAATGTTTCTATATTACTCAGACAGACTCTATTAACCCTAATGGAACAAGGTGATGTCTTTTTAATGCATAATGATTGGGTTTAATAAGAGGAAATTTGGCTCAGTGTGGTTATCAGCATGGATATGCAGCATAAAAAGTTGGTGGGCACCATGAAAATTTCACAAGGTTGAAATGAGGGCAAAGCTCAGCATGTGGGGTGAGCTGCAAGAATGCTCTTAGCACAGTGGTTATTAATATCTGCTAAAGAACCTGACCTTTGTTGCTGTAAATAAGACCAGATAATGACACGTTCATTCTAAGAGCAACTTTGAGATGAAAATTGAGGCATTTGTCAAAAGGAAAAGGAAAGTAATTTGTACTAAAATGAAATATGGAGCTTTAGCGTTAATATCTGACAGCTTTGGCCCTTGTCATGAAAGATTTGTGACTTTAGGTAATGATTATAATTAGCATTCTTGTCCATGAGGGCTCGTATTCTCTCATTTTCTGGAAGAGAAGGCTGGAAGGAACGTGATATGTACAAATAGTCTTTGGGAAGGACATATTTTCCCCCCTCTTTTTCTGGATGAGTTTGCTGTTGTTCTCCTTACCTCAATAATTTATTCAAGATGAAAAGAACTTTGGGGTCATAGATTCACAGGCAAATAAGGTGGCCACCCTTGAGCGCTGGAGTCACTTTTTCCACCGCTGACTCACAAGCAGGTGAACAAACAAACAAACCTTCAAGGAAGCGTCAAGCCCAATTTGTTTATACTTACAGTGTCCCCATGGCGCCCGGTTGCCCCTGTCTGCTCCTGAAGGTAAGATGTGTTTTCAGGGAGGCAGTTCATCAGAATGACCAAAATTTAAAGGAATTCTTTTAATCCAAAGTTTGATCTTTCCCCCCATCCTTTGAGGTGCACACCCAAACACACAGAGACTGTGCTGTAATGTGCTGTAAATCATCAAAATGTGCGAAAACAAGGACTTGTTTCCAAGTCAGATTTCATTTTCATTCTTCAGGGTTAAATCCTGTCTCGTTTCATCTTTTGCTCCGTTCTCACCCTTTCAGGTTAAATGAAAGTTGGCGCCATATCAAGGACCGAACTGTGACTTTCATCCAGGTCACGCGGTCAGCAGGCGGTTATCTTTCCTAATAGCACTGACATTATTATAGAAACATGCCTGAGCGGCTGGAGCTCGGATGCGTTGCTGTGATAGAGCCTGTGCCCGAGACCCTCCGTGACTGCTGTCTGCCAGGCAACACATTTTGTGCTGCACAGGTGAGATGAAGGGGCGTAGGACGGAATTCCTCTCTAGTTGGGATGAAATAAAAAAGTTAAAAAGCATGCTAAGTTTTAAGTAGTGTATCAAGGCCCTGAAGTAGATAGGCCTCTAAGTCATGCACCTTAATTGGCAAATGAACTATCCCGAAAATAATTACTATTAGAGTATATGGTTGAGAGTCAGTACTTCAGTATGAATTTTCCAGATGATTTGGGAAGTGAAATTTGAGCTGGGTTCAATAGGAAGGTAAGTGGCAGCTTTTAGGCTAGGCAGAACTGGGCCGAACTCAGGCAGTGGGCAAGCACCTGGTGTTTCGTAAAGAAAGTAAAACAGAAGTTTAGTGAGAAGGTGGTCAGGGATAAAATGGAAATGGGGGCTGTCAGATTGTGGAGGCCTTCACATTTGCAACAGAAGCATTTGGATGTCTAATTTCTGGGTAATGAGGAGCCACTGAAAGCTTATTAACATGCAACAATGAGGGCCAGAGAGTTTGCAATCAAACCTAGTATAAGAATGAAACAGAGAATTTTCAATTATTCAATTTAATCACGGATGGGAATTTGATTGGTCCCAAGCATGGACGCTCAAGGCCAATTTGCCAGGCTTCCTTCCAACCTGGCAGGCACAGGAGAGGAACAGCTGCGACACAGTGGCTGGTCTGTGGTCTGCGTGCCCACAGACCTGACTTCTAGTTAGTTCTCAGCTACATGCTTGCTGCTTGGCTTTGGGCGGTTAACTCCTCAGAGCCTCAGTTTTCTCATCTGCAAAATGGAGATACAGTATCTCCAATGGTGGTCACAGTAATGAGAAATGATATGAGTTCCTGGATCATAGCTTATACTCAATGAAACGTAGCTGGTTTTAGTTTTATTGTCATTATTACCATCATCAAGCCATCTCACATACAAGCTTGAAGATTGCAGCTGGATTAATTCTGATTTATTAACCCTGTTATTTGACCAAAAATGCTTATTAAAAATGTCTGATTAGGGCACCTGGGTGGCACAGTCAGTTAAGCATTGGACTCTTGTTTTCGGCTCAGGTCGTGATCTCAGGGTCATGAGATCCAGCCCCACGTCGTCAGGAATGGGTGCTTAAAGGAGAGTCTGCTAAAGTTTCTCTCTCTCCCTCTCCCTCTGCCCCACCCCCTCCCACCAAAATAAATAAATATATATTTTTTTAAAAAAATGTCTGATTGGCAGGGGGCAGCAAAGTCATCTTCACATCTGAACGTCAACACCTTCCAGCTAGCAGAGTGTGCCCTGTTTGCAAGTGCTCTGCCTCCCCAGAGGAAAGTAGCAGGTGGGAGTCCAGGGTTTCACTGAATCTGGCTCCTAGTTTGTCGATTCCCCCTTAATGACTGAGACTCTGGGGGAGGAGAGCACAGGTGAGGGCACTTTAGGAGCCAGATTCACTCTCACTCTCACCATGGGGGACCCAGCATGGAATGGTGGAAAGCAACTGAGTGTTGAGTCACACAGACCTGGTTTCAAATTCAGACCCTGCAACTTATGAGCTGGGTGTCTCCGTACAAGTTGCTTAGACTCTCGAGCCTCACAAGTTCCATCTGTAAAATAAAAATGATTGTCCTTGGCAGGGTTGTTGTGGAATCAAATGAGCAAATCCTTCCTTCCCGCCCCCCACCCCCCGTCTGCCGGTCTTTCTTTTGGAAAAGACCACGATCCAGTGTAGCCTATGAGAGTTGCAAATGAAGGGAGAAATTCTTGCTTCCTTCTTGCCCCCTACTAGGGCCTCAGCTGTAATCTGCTGACTAAAACAGTTTCTCTCCTTCCATCCAAAGGCAGACAGTCAAACCAGGCACTGTGCTTGTCACTCTGGATAAAGCCTTTCAGTGACAACCCAACTGATACAGGACTAAGCAGAGTAAAATATTTGATAATGAGGTAAGTCTCCTTTGGTACCAGAAGAGAGGTAAGGAGAAATGAGTGGGTGTTAGTGAGAGGTTAAGAGAAGAAAAAGTCTCAAAAATGGGAGGAGAAAGAAAAAGAGAACAAATGTAGGGCAATGTTTTAATTAAATTTTTATTATTTTATTTATTTATTTATTAAATTTTAATAAATAAATAATTTATTCATTTATTAACTAGAGAACAAGTTTTTTTTTCCAGCCAGTTGCTCTTAGAAAGTCACCATATTATGAGTAATAAACCAGCCATATTCCTTATTCAGATATCACCATGAAAGGGAAAATTTGAAAGCTAGCTATTTATTTTGGGGGCCTTGCAAGAAAAACTCATTTTCTTACCCAGAATCAGTTACTGGGAAAAATTATATAAAATTACATTATAATTATATAACTATATATAAAAATTATATATATACACATACATATATAGTATATATATATTAGCATATATGTAGTATATAGTATATATATAGTAGCAGGACCTTTCCCTTCTGTTGTTATTCAAATATAGCCCTGTTCTCTGGGCTGACTGAGGAAGAAGTTATAAGCAGGCAGTGAGCACAGATTAATGCCTTAATTGGTTATTAATACATGGTCACTGCTATTCTTAGAGATTACTGGTGTTTGGATAGCTACCTCAAAAATAGAGTCCAGATTTCAGGGCTGTGTTTTATCACACATAAAACCAGGGACAGCTGATGGGTAAAAAGTTGGACCATGGTGCCATTTCTGGAAAGCCCTATTATTGCTTTTAAAGGTCATGCTGGAAAGTCTCCTGGTAACCCAATTCATCTTGAATATTCATAATTCATCCATTAAGAACTGCCTTGACTGTAACTCAGTGTCAGGATTGACCACCTCTTCATGTGGTTCACAAAGTAACGGTGGTAGGGTTGGAAATAAATTAGTTAAATGTGGTTAGACAAAGAACAAATAATCCAATCAAGAAATGGGCAGAAGATATGAACAGACATTTCTGCAAAGGAGACATCCAAATGGCCAACAGACACATGAAAAAGTGCTCAACATCGCTCGGCATCAGGGAAATCCAAATCAAAACCTCAATAAGATACCACCTCACACCAGTCAGAATGGCTAAAATTAACAAGTCAGGAAACGATAGATGTTGGCAAGGATGCAGAGAAAGGGGAACCCTCCTACACTGTTGGTGGGAATGCAAGCTGGTGCAGCCACTCTGGAAAACAGTATGGAGGTTCCTCAAAAAGTTGAAAATAGAGCTACCGTATGATCCAGCAATTGCACTACTGGGTATTTACCCCAAAGATACAAATGTAGGGATCCAAAGGGGTACATGTATCCCGATGTTTATAGCAGCAATGTCCACAATAGCCAAACTGTGGAAAGAGCCAAGATGTCCAACGACAGATGAATGGATAAAGAAGATGTGGTATGTGTATACACACACACACACACACACATATACACACAATGGAATATTATGCAGCCATCAAAAAAGGAAATCTTGCCATTTGCAATGACGTGGATGGAACTAGAGGGTATTATGCTAAGCAAAATAAGTCAATCAGAGAAAGACAAGTATCATATGATCTCACTGATATGAGGAATTTGAGAAAAAAGACAGAGGGCCATAGGGGAAGGGAGGAAAAAATGAAACAAGATGAAACCAGAGAGGGAGACAAACCGTAAGAGACTCTTAATCTCAGGAAACAAACTGAGGGTTGCTGGAGTGGAGGGGTGTGGGAGGGATGGGGTGGCTGGATGATGGACACTGGGGAGGGTATGTGCTGTGGTGAGCGCTGTGAATTGTGTAAGACTGATGAATCACAGACCTGTACCCCTGAAACAAATAATACATTATATGTTAATAAAAAATTGTGGTTAGAAAATAAATCTAAACGTGTTTATCAAATTTGGGAGGACTTTAGGTATTGTTAAAGGATAGAAAGTATATAGTTTTAAAGAACTGAAGTGGGCAATCCTTTCCTAATTCCACATAATATTTGTTAATTGATAAACTTTGATGTACTCTCAGACTGCAAGTTCACTGACCACATAATTAATAGGAGTATTTATTGTTCATTATGGATGAACTAAGACCCTGGGGAGCTATTCAGTCCCATTTACGGAAGAAAAAAATAGTCACCATGCATGAGATCAATACGTGATGAGTTGTGAGTGTGGTATTTACAACCTGAGAACCAAGTGACTCTGCCATTGCACAGTCACCCACTCTGAACTAGGAGCCCCCTAGTTGCTTGTCGAGTGCCCACCTGCTGAGTGCTCATGTGGGAAAAGTTCTAAGCAATGGAAACCATTTGCTTCTGCGGAGTTTCCCTAGTGATACCTGGTTGAGCTTCCTCCTCTATGTGGGTGGCGTGGGATGTAACAGGTAATCCGGACCAAAGACCATGGAAGATTTGGGAGTTAAAAACAAACACCTGGGCTTGAATCTAGCCACCCTTTCCCAAACACAGCTGGGTCCAAAATAACAGCTGAAAAGGGCTCCTTCCTCAATTTGGCCCCAATCCTGCCCAGACGGAGGACTCCTCTGTTTCCACTAGAAAGAGCCAAGAGCAAAAACTCCATCCATCTGAAAATGTTTGGAAGAATTTCAGGGTCAGGGGAGATAAAAAAAAAAAAAAAAAAAACCTCATGGTTGGTCTCACTGATAAGGATTTAAGTGTAAGGATGGAAAATGGCATCCATCAGAGATCACCACCTCTATGCGTCCCATGGGGTACCAGATACTTGCTAAGAAACAATCCATACTACACCCTGAACCCCCAAATGCCATGAATGTCAGAACATCTGCCCCCAGGGGAGAAGTTCTCTATGAAGCTAAAGAAAAGCCACTGCGCCTCAATTCCAATGATGAAGGCAATGGGGCTTTAAATGATATAATTGATCACATTTGCATTATTATTTAGAAGATAAACTGCTTCCTTGCTTGCTTGCTTATTTATTTATTTGCCACAACTGGCATAGCATTTAGTAATTTGGTTGAAGATATGAAGTAACCAGTGGTAATTTATTATCTATTTTATTAAGACATGGTGTTCAAGATGTGTGCTATATTTGTTCCCTTATCCAGAAGTGATCTCAATGGTGAGGAGTAGAGCAAAGGAAACCAGAAAAGAAACCATCTAAGAGATATGTGAGCAACGGAAATACCTGTCACAAATCCCACGCCCTTCCACGCTCTGAGCTCCTGGGAGAGGGCCTGAGGGCCCCCCTCACTAGCTTTACTTCTACATTCGATGTAATTCTCATAGCAAACTGGAAGCCAGTGATAGCAAAGAGAGAAAACGGATCCTGTTAGAGTCCTGCGGCTGGACGCGGCCAGAAGTGACAGAGAGCCAACGGTGATAAAGGAAACCGATAAATCAGAACGGCAGGGAAAATAACTCATCACCCTTTATCAGTGTGGGGAAAAGAAAATAGTGGCGCAAAGTGCAAGATTTGGTGTTTACATTAATAATGCTCTGATACTAAGGAAATGATATCTGTGCAAGGAAGACAAGCGATGTATTCTAGAAAGTGTTCCAGCAGCAAAGGATAAACTATTTTCAGTTTGGTCATTTTGAACATTCACTCATGGGCAACGCTCATTTCTCAGACTGGTCTGCATAGATAACAAAGGAGCAGTGGAAAACCATAGTTAAAGGAGTGGATATGGTAGCCAGCCTGCCTGGGTTCAAATTCCAGCCATAACACCTACTCCCTGTGAAACGCTGGGCAACTCCACCTCTCCGAATCTCAGTTCCTAAACTGTAAAATGGGTGGCAGGAAGGATTTAATGAGCTCATGTGTGTAAAGCACTAGAAGAGGGCCTGTCACACAGTAAGCACTAGGTAAGTGTTCTCTGGAAAGAAATTCACATTTACTGAGCACTTACTGTGTGCCAGGTACTGAGTGTGAGCTGTCCTCTTTATCATTTTATCCTATAAGCTGCTACTATATGAAGTATAGTATAATATCAGAATTTAGTCTTAAATATTCCTCAAGCCCAAAGTAATTGATGACAAAGAACGATCAACTCTAAGACAAGTCAGCAAGGTCTATTAAATCTAACATTCATTTAACTTGTTTTCTGCTATAGTAAACTTTTTTCTTAAATTTTCTTAAAAATTTACATCCATTTAGTTTAGCTACTATTCTCTCTGTGAAGTGGCCTCTTAATTTTGCATGTATATTCATCATCTTTTCTGCAATGATTTCAGCTTAGTTACCATTTTAGACCTCAAGGATCCAATTATCTGGGAATATGAGGATAGGCATTAAATTCATCTGTGGGTACGCACTGCAACGATTTGCAAGATAAAAGCAGTGTTGAAACAAAAGTTCTGGGTCCCTAATAATGTCAAGAAGAAATATGCAATCATTGCCGAGCAAAAGCACTGGAAATCTGCCTTTTGAAATAGGCCTACAAAAACCAAATAGGTATAGAAATAAAGTACTGTAAGTAGAAATGTGACATTTTTGAGTATCAAAAAATTTATTTTCAACACCTACAAAATGCCTGACCAGTACTCTTTAAAACTATCAAGGAATGACTGAGAAACTGTCACTAATTAGAGGAGAAACAGGAAGCATGATGACAGAATGTAATGTAGTGTCCTGGACTGGATCCTGGAACAGAAAAAGTCATTAATAAAAAGCAGATGCAATTTGAATAAGGACTGGAGTTTCATTAATGGTAATGTACGAATGATAACTTCTTAGTTTTGATAATTATATGATCACAATATAAAGATGTCAGTAATGGGAAAAATGGGTGAAGGGTACACAGGAAGTCTCTGTATCATCTTTGCAATTTTTCTGTAAGTTGAAAATTATTCCAAAATAAAATCTTTACTTAAAAATTACTTTCGCGGGGCACTGGGTGGCTCAGTTGGTTAAGCCTCTGCCTTCAGCTTAAGTCATGATCCCAGGTTCCTGGGATCAAGCCCCGAATCTGGCTCCCAGCTAAGTGGGGAGTGTGTTTCTCCCTCTACCCCTCCCCCTGCTCATGATCTCTCTCTCTCTCTCGCATGTTCTCTCTCTCTCTCAAATAAATAAAATCTTAGAAAAAATACTTTCACAATAGCAAAATATGGAAAGAGCCCAGATGTCCATCTACAGATGAATGGATAAAGATGTGGTGTGTGTACACACACACACACACACACACACACACACACACACATACATACACAATGGAATATTACTCAGCCATCAAAAAAGAATGAAATCTTGCCATTTGTAACAACTGGATAGAACTAGAGGATATTATGCTAAGCAAAACAAGTCAGTCAGAGAAAGACAAATACCATGTGATTTCACTTGTGGAATTTAAGAAACAAAACAGATAAACATAGTGGGAGGAAAGGAAAAATAAGATAAAAACGGAGAGGGAGGCAAATCATAAGAGACTCTTAACTCTAGGAAACAAACTGAGGGTCGCTGGAGGGGTGGGGTGGGGGTATGGGGTAAGTGGGTGATGGGCATTAAGGAGGGCACTTGATGTAATGAGCACTGGGTGTTGTATGCAACTGATGAATCATTAAATTCCTCCCCTGAAACTAATAATACAGAATGTTAACTAAATTGAATTTAAATAAAAAATTTTTTAAAATATTTTCAGATCCTTGAGAACCTGGGCAGTGGGAACAGCTTGGATCTTAATATCAGAAGGTTGGATTTGAATCTTGCTTCCACCACCATCCCACAGGGTGACTTGAGGCAAGTTGGTTGAATATTTTGAGCCTTAGTATACACACTCATAAAATAGGAAAGAAAATTCCTACTTCACACAGTATTATTGAAGGAGCAAATGAGAACTCATAAACCCACATAAAAGGTGACCACAAATGCAAATATTTCACAAAGCCTCTTTGAATCGCAGCTTCAGTCCAACCTTAAAACTATTCAGTGAATCGACACATGCCTTTCTTCTTATTTTACTTTTAAAAAATGACCCATAAATGATCCATGACACCTTCAATACAAAAAAATTAAGAGTCAGATATTAATCTCATTAGAAAGTTCGTATTTTCAGATTTTTCTTTTCAAAAATGGCATTTGGTCTGTTGGATTTGGGGAAAATCTGTTGCATTGATTCTGGTGTGAGTTTCCCTGAGTGTATATAGACTTGGACAAGAAATAGCTCAATAAAAATCAGTGGATTTGATGTGTTATTTTGTGGTTATCTGATTCTGATGATGAGCCAGAATCAGGTAAAGGAAATCATCACTGCAGAAGCTTTGAGGAAGTCCTGGGCAGAGAAAGCAGGCAGTCAGGAGAACTCCACTGAAATTTCCCTTCCATTCTCAGGGAGACACGGCTGCAGGTGGTTAAGAGTTAAGGGGAGGGTATGTGCTATGGTGAACGCTGTGAACTGTGTAAGACTGATGAATCACAGACCTGTACCTCTGAAACAAATAATACATTATATGTTTAAAAAAAGAAGATAGTAGGAAGGGTAAAAATGAAGGGGGGGAATAGGAGGGGGAGATGAACCATGAGAGACTACGGACTCTGAGAAACAAACTGAGGGTTCTAGAGGGGAGGGTTCTGGCGGGGATGGGTTAGCCTGGTGATGGGTATTAAAGAGGGCACGTATTGAATGGAGCACTGGGTGTTATATGCAAACAATGAATCATGGAACACTACATCAAAAACTAAAGATGTAATGTATGGTGATTAACATAACATAATAAAATTAAAAAAAAAAAAAAGAGTGAAGGTTTTCATCCAGACTCCCTGGACTTGGAGTCAAGCTCTGACTTTTACCTTTTTGAATGTGGGCAGGTGACTTAACCTCTCTGTGTCTTGTTTGGAGAGAATTGATAAGGATGTGATCTTATTTGTGTTTTGGAAACTCCTCTGGAAACAGCATAAAGAATCAATGAGAGCAGAGCCAGACCCAAGGCAGCAGTGGCGGTCAGGAAACCAGACCAATGTTGAGAAGAGATGACGAGGAGTCTGGCATGGGAAACATGAGGGAGGTAGACTGGAGGGGAGCCGGATACTGGGAGAAGGAGAGGGGATCAGGGAGAGAAAGAAATGTAGATGGATTCTTAGGTTTCTGGAAAGGGGGTCTGGTCCACTCACCAAGACTGGGAGTCACAGAAGAGGGAGGGATGTAATACATATCATTTGGGACATGGTACAGGTTTGCATTTTGGGACATTCACGAAGACATACCTAACTGGCATAGGGGCTTGTATTTTAGCTCGTGTACTACTCTGAGGGAACAGGGGCTTAGAGAGAGAAAGTACGAGATGGTGCCTAAGAATCCTATTTCTACTTCTTACTAGCTGTGTGACTAAAGCAGTGAATTGCTTCACTGCCTCCATTTCTTCATTTTTTACACCATCATCCTCATCCTCATCCTCATCCTCACTATCTTACAGAGTTGTTATAAGAATTAATACATAGACATCTGAATTGGCAAAGAAGAAGTGAAACTCTCACTTTTTGCAGATGATATGATACTTTATGTGGAACCCAAAAGACTCTACCCCAAAACTACTAGAACTCATACAGGAATTCAGTAAATTGGCAGGATATAAAATCAATGCACAGAAATCAGTGGCATTTCTATACACCAAAAACAAGACAGAAGAAAGAAAAATTAAGGAGTCGATCCCATTAATAATTGCACCCAAAACCATAAGATACCTAGGAATAAATCTAACCAAAGAGGCAAAGAATCTGTACTCAGAAAACTGTAGAATACTCATGAAAGAAATTGAGGAAGATACAAAGAAATGGAAAAACGTTCCATGCTCATGGATTGGAAGAACAAATATGGTGAAGATGTCAATGCTACCTAGAGCAATCTACACATTCAATGCAATCCCTATCAAAATAACATCAACTTTTTTTGAAGAAATGGAACAAATAATCCTAAAATTTTTATGGAACCAGAAAAGACACCCCGAATAGCCAGAGGAATGTTGAAAAAGAAAAGCAAAGCTGGCAGCATCACCATTCCAGACTTCCAGCTCTATTACAAAGCTGTCATCATCAAGACAGTATGGTACTGGCACAAAAACAGACACATAGATCAATGGAACAGAATAGACAACCCAGAAATGGACCCTCAACTCTATGGTCAACTAATCTTTGACAAAGCAGGAAAGAATGTCCAATGGAAAAAAGACAGTCTCTTCAACAAATGGTGTTGGGGAAATTGGACAGCCACGTGCAGAAGAATGAAACTGGACCATTTCCTTACACCACACACAAAAACAGACTCAAAATGGTTGAAAGACCTAAATGTGAGACAGGAGTCCATCAAAATCCTTGAGGAGAACACAAGCAGCAACTTCTTCGACCTCAGCCACAGCAACTTCTTCCTAGAAACATTGCCAAAGGCAAGGGAAGCAAGGGCAAAAATGAACTATTGGGACTTCATCAAGATAAAAAGCTTTTGCACAGCAAAGGAAACAGTCAACAAAACCAAAAGACAACCAACAGAATAGGAGAAGATATTTGCAAATGACATATCAGATAAAGGGCTAGTATCCAAAATCTATAAAGAACTTATCAAACTCAACACCCAAAGAACAAAGAATCCAATCAAGAAATGCAAAGAAGACATCCAAATGGCCAACAGACACATGAAAAAGTGCTCAACATCACTTGGCATCAGGGAAATCCAAATCAAAACCTCAATGTGATACCACCTCACACCAGTCAAAATGGCTAAAATTAACAAGTCAGGAAACAACAGATGTTGGCGGGGATGTGGAGAAAGGGGAACCCTCCTACACTGTTGGTGGGAATGCAAGCTGGTGCAGCCACTCTGGAAAACAGTATGGAGGTTCCTCAAAAAGTTGAAAATAGAGCTACCCTACGACCCAGCAATTGCACTACTGGGTATTTACCCCAAAGATACAAATGTAGTGATCCAAAGGGGCACATGCACCCCAATGTTTATAGCAGCAATGTCCACAATAGCCAAACTATGGAAAGAGCCTAGATGTCCATCAACAGATGAGTGGTTAAAGAAGATGTGGTGTATATATATATATAATGGAATATTATGCAGCCATCAAAAAAATGAAATCTTGCCATTTTCAATGACGTGGATAGAACTAGAGGGTATTATGCTAAGCAAAATAAGTCAATCAGAGAAAGACAAGTACCATATGATCTCACTGATATGAGGAATTTGAGAACCAAGACAGAGGATCATAGGGGAAGGGAGGGAAAAGTGAAACAAGATGAAACCAGAGAGGGAGACAAACCATAAGAGGGGTTGCTGGAGTGGAGGGGCAGTGGGAGGGATGGGGTGGCTGGGTGATGGACACTGGGGAGGGTATGTGCTGTGGTGAGTGCTGTGAATTGTGTAAGACTGATGAATCACAGACCTGTACCTCTGAAAGAAGTAATACATTATATGTTCATAAAAAAAAAAATGTCAAAGAGAAAGAATTAATACATAGAAAGAATTAGCCCTGCCCCTGACCACTCATTGTGAATCAATCCTCAGTCCAGCTAATTACTATTAGCTGTAATAATTTGTAGCTAAAATAATAAGTAACTTCCCTAAAGGGATGTAGCCAAAGTAGTCTGAGGTGTTATTGGAACCTAGAACTGCCTCTTTGCATTTAGCACGGGGATTTGAAGAACAAGTTGATCTCAGTGGGCTGCAGTTTCCAAAGTTGCACAAGATCAAGGCAAGTGACAA